AGTGACTGAGAAAATACTTAATATGTTAGATCATCATGACAGCCAGCCATCTTGAAGAAGGGGGTCCACAGTAGTTGTCCCCTTATGTCTTCCATTACAGTTTTTTTTATTGTGTATTTCTAACTTTGTAGTATTTTCAAGTGAGCATTAGCAACTATCCAGCTTTACTTATTGCCTCTACTTGTATGTTAGAGTGGTTGTAAACCCTTACATACACCCAGTGAAGTGACTGGCATCAAGTACACAGAGATGAAGCAAATCCCCCAACATAAGTTTTACCTGTTTAAATGTAGCCATCTCTTCTCTACATCTATTCAAAGTGACAAATTTATAACTTTTTTTCTGAGAGTTCACAAAAAGGGGGTGGAGAGCTGGAATTACAAACTGCAGAGCTCAGTGAGGAAAACTCTGAGAGCTGATTGGAGGGAAGAGACACACCTCCCTCCACATAACTCACAGGAACAGAGCTGAGGTTGCTGATGTGCTGGAGGTCCCTCCCCATCACCATTTTTTTCTTGGTGACAGGAAAACTTGTCAGAAGTGACTCATGCTGATAGCAGAGGAACGAGGCAGTAGACAGAAATGACACTTAGTGCTCTTAATTGAAACAAGTACATATTATAGAGGGATATGCTTTGTTCATATTTAATTTCAGAGGCTTACATTCACTTTAACACAGTGGGTGATGGTGTAGGAACTGGAGTCACAGCAGTGGTAGCAGTGCCAGAGCACATGCTTCATGCTGATTCCCAGCAGTTCCTATACTCCCCCAAACTGAACTGACAATATTAATAATAATAATATTACACAGTGGACGGAACTGAGAGATGTTGGATCAGCCATTCCAGAATATCGTATTGAATGCTGATTGTTGTTGCGGAGTCCAGCGATACCCCAACTGTTCCATAGATTTGTTCCCTACATTGACCCTATAACTTCCCTTCACAGCTGTACCATGGGGAATCCAGCACCTTCTCTGCAGAGTAGTAAAGAAGACTGTGCTCAGCATAGGAGGAGGCAGTAACGCTCCGTTCACACCAATGCGTTTTTTAGTGCTTTTTGCAGAAATGCTCTACAGTCCATTTAACATGCTTTTCTATGGAACATGTTCACATCCAGGGGCGGACTGACCATTTGGAAACTTGGGCACTGCCCGTGGGCCCAGAGTCAGTAGGAGGCCCCATGAGATGCCCCTGGTACCTTTTTCATAGACTTTTTTGAGTTTTAGCAAGGACACAGGGGCCCCATGATCCCCTATTGCCTGGGGTCCCCATGAGTTGTCAGTCTGCCCCTGTTCACATCTATGCTTTTTTTAGCTGCTGTGTTTTTTGAAACGGTCAGGGACTTTTTTAAAAGCAAAAAGCAGTATTTTTGCTACAATAGAGTTCAATGGAGAAGCTGCTGAAATGTATGGCAGTGCGTTTTTGCCATGTTTTTACCACATTTTTCATTTTATTCTGCCCAGCAACAAAACAAAATTCCACTTTAACAAAAAAAAAAAAAGCTGAAAACATGAGGTAAAAACACGTGTAGAAAACAAGGAAACAAACTGCAAAAAGCACCGAAGAAAGCTTCAAACGCCAAAATGCATATATGTGAACCAAGCATAAGAGGGTCTTACAGCAGCAGTACGGCAAGCAGGGGGCTTGAGTAAAAATTTCCACTGGGACCCTGCACTCATTTTTACTCAGTATATGGGGACCTGTGGGGTGGGGGAGGGCAGTTTGTGAACCATGGCAACAGAAGCCAACGCTGGCAAGATGTTTTAAATTATGCAAAGAAGTAATTGGAGTAAGGATTAGGCTAGTGGATTCATTAATTGGGGCAGTGGACTAATTGACTCAGGTTAGCAATTAATTGATTTAAAAGCTTCAAATAATTGGAGCAGTAAATTACTTGAGCCAACAAAGTCTGTCAGCCTGAGAGGCCTTACTTTTCTGTACTAACCTGACGGTTTTTGCAGCTTACACTTTCCTATGAACATCTCTTTTTGTCATATTCGTTATATACATTGACTATGGAACAAAGACCAGTGAAGCCGATCGGGGAGTCCACAAGCCAGCTGTCTAATTTAGTGATAAGTTATAGTGGCAATGTGAAATACGGAACTGCTAGACCTGCATTTCTAATACATATATAATGTTAGCATTGATGTTGCACCCATTTACAGGCTGACATGATGGTCCTATTATTAGACAGAGCACTGCTGCTCCAGATACATCACTGAACAGTCCGATTGTTTGGCAGGCTTTGTCAAATGTGTGCCTGATCTGATAAAATGTTGACATATAAAGATCAGACGGTTGACATTGTCAGTGCTGACCACTGTCTCTGCTATGGGAAATAAGGGCAACTCTCTCCAATAGGGACCTAGACACTAATAAAAACATCCAATGTGGGTGGATGACAGCAACAAGTCATTAATAGGATTTGGGGTGACTTGTCTTGATAGGTGTCTTAGCTGAATGAGGATTATCTCAAAACCAGGTCACCATGCTAAGGGGTTGGGTGTGACAAATCCAGGTTTGGTTGTGGAGCAGCAAATATATGTAACCATTGGCCTACCGGGCACCTATACCCCCTTCCTGCCCAGGCCAGTTTTCAGCTTCTAGCGCTGTTGCACTTTGAATGACAATTGTGCGGTCATGCGACACTGTACCCATATGAAATTTTTATAATTTTTTTTCACACAAATAGAGCTTTCTTTTGGTGGTATTTACTTGCCACTGGGTGTTTTATTTTTTGCGCTATAAACAAAAGAAGAGCAAAAAATTTTGCAAACAGGTATTTTTTCTCCATCACTGATGTGCGTTAATGAGGCTGTACTGATAGGCAGCACTGATGGGCACTGATAGGCCACACTGTTGAGCACTGATAGGCAGCACTGATGGGCACTGATGAGGTGGCACGGATAGGCAGCACTAATGGCTACTGATAGGAGGCACTGATGATGCTGCACTGATAGACAGCACTGATGGGTAGCACTGATGATGCTGCACTGATGGGCGGCACTGCTGGGCAATGATGGGTAGCACTGATGAGCAGCACTGATGGGCAGCACTGATAGGTGTCACTGATGGGCACAGGTGGGGGGCACTGCAGGGCACAGGTGGGTGGCACTGATGGGCACAGGTGCGTGGCACAGGTGGGTGGCAATGCAGGGCACAGGTGGGTGGCACTGATGGACACAGGTTGGTGGCACTGCTGGGCACAGGTGGGTGGCACTGCAGGGCACAGGTGGGTGGCACTGCAGGGCACAGGTTGGTGGCACTGATCATCAGGGCACTGATCATCAGTGCCCTGTTGATCACTGCCAATCCCTTCACTGACAATTGTCGGTCCTCAGCAGTACTTTCCTCATGCTGTGACAGCGTGAGGAAAGTGCAGCCAATAAGGGGCAACTGTATTTACCCAGTGATCTGATGTGCCATTGAACAAAGCTCACGTGGTAAAAGGCCGCCGTGATTGGCCGTTTACCGTATCATGTGATCAGCTCTGTCCATAGGACACAGCAATCACTGGAGGTGTTCTGGAATGACGTCCATGGACGTCGTCCCAGGAGTACACAACCACTCTGTAGCGCGGTTGTGTACTGGTTAAACAGACATTTCAAGGGTGAAATTTTACTTCCTACTATGAATAAGGTCTTTCCATAACTGAAACGCATTAGAATATTTTGCTTCTTGCATACAATAAAGAAGACATTTTTTTTTAATTTCACCTTGTTGCAGACCTTTCATTTCTCTGGATGTACATACATGAGCAGGTGGAGACTACTGGCATGGTGATTTCCTGCTTTAGCTGGAGAATTTCTAACCAGGTAGCAGCACTTTACCTTTGTCTTGCCTAATATTGAAATTTTACTTTATTGTATACAAGCCAATGCATTTGGGGAAATTAAACGCCCCATCTTCATCAGGGTTGATTTGTTATTGTAGTTACAGCTGTACTGACATCCTGAGTGCAGGACACTGCACATGTGTCATTTTGCAAATGAAAGCAGCTTGGATGGTGGGCTGCAGATATGATTATGACAACGTGATGTAATAATGAGGTGGGGAAATGCCAAATGGTGTTAGAGTGTCCTGACTGCGCTCAGGGTTTTAGTACTGCTATAAACCGCTACAATAGCAGATCGACCCTGTCGAAGGGCCAATCTCCTTACAATGGTTCTATGGCTCTAAGGCTCAAGGTTTTTTACCTTCATGCATTCTATGCATGAAGGTAAAAACCTTCTGTGTGCAGCAGCTCCCCTCTAATACTCACCTAAGCCCCTTCTTAATCCAGCAATGTGCACTGGAGTCTCGGCTATCTCGGGACTCCCTCTTCTTATTGGCTGAGACAGAAGCTGGGACCATTGGCTCCCACTGCTGGCCAGTGAGCCAATGAGAAGAGAGAGGAGGTGACAGGAGGATGGGGCAGCAGGTGTCCCCAGCATGCTGCTTGCTGTGGGGGCACCCGACAGGAGGATGGGGCCAGGAGAGCCTGCGGGGACCCGAGAAGAGAGAGGATCAGGACTGCTCTGTGCAAAACCACCGCACACCACAGGTAACATGTCTGTTATTTTTTTCTTAAAAAAAAAATAAACCTTTAGAAACACTTTAAATACTTTGGCTTCTTAAATACAAAAAAGTGAACTTCCAAAAAATCACACAGGTTATGACTCTCCAAAATATTTTTAGCCTAAAGCTGGCAATTATAATGAATGTTGTGATGAGAGCAGGAAAAAGAACATTTGAGGGAGTTATAAACTGCTAATGATTAAGTGAAAAAAACATATTTTTACTTTTTGCTATTAAACATGTCCAGTAAAAAAATTTTAAAAATCAAATTTCGTCATAAAATGAGGCCAAAATGTAGTCTGCTACGTCTTTGCTAAAAAAAAAATCCTAATATGTGTAAATTAATAGCGTTACATGAAAGTTATAGCATTTACAAATGGCTGTATATATGCTGGAATTTTTATTTTTTTTTACTAGTAATGGCGGCAACTTATAGCGGGTGTCACTGACATCCCCAGTGACACCAATACAGTGATCGGTGCTATTAAAAAACACTGACACTCTACTGCACTGGGCAGGAAGGGGTTAACATGTGGAGTGATCAAAGGGTTAACTGTGTGCTGTTTTACTATGTGGGCTGTGTGTGCTTTACACTGTAAGCACACTGCTTTGTATGGCTCTGCCAATGAGAAGAGAGAGGAGACGGGGCCATGAATGGACACACAGAGCAGCAGGTGCCCCCATAGCAAGCTACTTGCTGTGGGGGCACCCGACAGGAGAATGGGGCCAGGAGAGCCTGCGGGGGACCCCAGAAGAAGAGAATCGGGGCTGCTCTGTGCAAAACCACTGCATACCGCAGGTAAGTATAGACATGTTTGTTTTTTTTCTTAAATGCTTTGTCTTCTTATATACAATAAAGTGAACTTAAAAAAAATCACACAGATTATGACTCTCCAAAATATTTTTAGCCTATGCAGAGCCATACAAAGCAGTGTGCAGGAGCTGACAGGGAGAGAACTGCATTGTTTACATACAGATCTCTCCCCTTTCGGTAATACTAAGAGATCGCCAGGTGCCAGTGGGGAATCACTGGCCGGGACCTGGTGACTGACAGCCGTGCTGCGATTGCTGGCGCAGGTAGAGCGCGCACGGGCCCCCTACCCGGAACTGCAAAATCACGTATCTATACGTGAATTTGCACACCCGTACCTCCCTGTAGCAGTATTTCTGCTGTAGGGTGGTATGGAAACAGTTTATTTTATCTGCCACCGCTCCGCAAACAAGATGTGACTCTATGTACTAACCCACAAGACATATAGTGCAGGTCCTAGAGACATATACTTGAAACTTAGAGACACATGCTTTATAAACAAGAAGATTCAATATTGTTTTTTTTCAAATTTTTTTTTTCTTTTTGTTATTACCCAACATAAGAAGTTATTCTTGTATGTAACCTAGTTGAACTTACTATGGAGTGGTTTTTTTTATGACCCTTTGCTTGATGAAGGGGTTCTGTGTGGCTCTGAATTGTTGCAATATTATGTGATCTTTCAATAAAAGTGTTATTTGCTGTGTGCTGGTGACATACTGGCTCCATTCACTAAGTGCTATTTTTCTTTTTAAAATCTGAGGTAAAATAGCTCATAGCTTTTTTCAAAAATATTTTTGCAGTTCACAAAATTCACAAAAAAGCTACTAAAATAATGCAGTATTTATCTCATGAAACCATTTGGTATTTTATCTCATGATGTGATATCCAGTGGGATTGATATAGTGGAGAAGAATTAGAACCCCTGTAAGGTTTTATTGCTAATAAAGAGGTAAAATGGTTTAAACCATAGAAATATGCCAGTTCACTAAGTCAGTGCGGTCCCTGCAGTATATGTATTATTACAAAAGAACAAAAGGTGACTGGAATACTGATCAGGGGGAAGCTGCTTTCACAGGACACAACTAAGTTAAATTAGGTAAATACAACATGTCTTTATACATGTCAAATACTGAATGAAAATAGCATCAAAAAATCACACACATGTATACATTTTTTAATTTATTACAGGTACTTATATAGTGCTGACAATTTACACAGCACCTAATATATATAGTACATTCACATCAGTCCTTAACCCTCAAGGGGTGTACAATCTAAGGTCCCTAACTCACATTCATACACATACACATACTAGGGCCAATTTAGACAGGAGCCAATTAACCTACCAGCATGTCTTTGGAGTGTGGGAGGAAACCAGAGTACCCAGAGGAAACCCACACAGGCACAGGGAGAGAACATGCAAACTCCAGGCAGGTGGTGCCGTGGTTGGGATTTGAACTGATGACCCTAGTACTGCCAGGCGGAAGTTCTAACCATTTAGCCACTGTGCTGCCCGTAAATACCTTTCTTTCACCAATAAAGAAAACAGTGTTGAGGGACTGATCTAAAAAGATAGAGACTACATCAAACTGGCTGTTATATTCTTACATTCTTTAAATACCGCATGCCTACACCACTAATTATTTAACTCATGCATTTATTTATTTATCTCCTTTAGTAAATTGACTTTAACGCTATGCTGAGAATGTCAATTCCCTTTCACCTTATGCGGTATTTACTTCAAAAAGCAAAAATGTTCGGCAAATACCAGATAAGGTGATAGTGAATTGACATTTTCAGCATAACATGCGACATTTCAGAAAATTGTGTCAGATCACCTAAATACTGCATGTTATCTGCTTTAGCAGACCAAATATTAACTGCTTGCCCTCCACCCTATAACAGAAGTACTTCTACAGGGTGGCACAGCTGTCAAAAAAATCAGTCGCGCTGGCCCTACCCGCGCCGCTATTGGCTGCTGGGGATGTCAATCACGGGTCCCGGCCGGCGATTCCCGGCCAGGACTCGGTGATCATCGGCAAAGCTGACAGGGGAGAGATCTGTGTGTAAACAACACAGGTCTTGCTTGGTCCTTCACCATGGACATGCTGCTTTGTATTTCTCTGCACAGCAGAGAAATACAAAGCAGAATGTCTCCCAAGTAAAACAGCACACAGCACACTATGAAAAAACACACAGCACACAGCGCATAACCCTTTGATCGCCCCAGATGTTAACCCCTTCCTGCTCACTGTCATTAGTACAGTGTCAGTGATTTTTCTTAGCTCTCATCACTGTATTAGTGTCACTGGGGATGTCAGTGGCAGTTAGTCAGTTCCCACCCAGTGTCAGAATGCCCGCCGCAGTCCCGCAGTCCCCGCTATAAGTTGCTGATCGGCGCCATTACTAGTATAAAAAAAATTTAAAGAAAAATCCCAGTATATATACCGCCATTTGTAGAGCCTATAACTTTCACGTAAACCAATTAATATACACATAGTTTGTTTTTTTTTAGCAAAGACATGTAGCAGAATACATTTTGGTCTAAATTTATGAACACATTTGATTTTTTTTAATTCTTTTTATTGGATATGTTATATAGCAAAAAAGTCAAAAATATAGGTTTTTTTTTCCAAATTGTCGGTCTTTTTCTGTTTATAGCGCAAAAATAAAAAAATGCAGAGGTGATCAAATACCACTAAAAGAAAGCTCTATTTGTGGATAAAATTACATAAATTTAATTTATGTACAGCATTGCATGACCGCGCAATTGTCAGTTAAAGTAATGCAGCACCATAGCACAAAAAATGGCCTGGTCAGGAAGGGGAGTGAATCCTCTGGAGGGCAAGTGGTTAAACAAAAATATAGTAACAGCTACATCTTAGTGAATTGACTCTAATTTCGCTCTATTCAGCCTGGTTCACATGTGGTGCGGAATTTGCAGTGGTTTCTGTGCTAATTCCACACCGCATCAAAATCGCACCCCCCATTCATGAGAACCACTGTATGTTAAGTTAACAACATCCCGAAATCGGTCCACAAAACGCAGTGCAATGTGCAGAATCGGATCGCATGGGTGTGAATATCCATGCGATCCACTTCTAGTGCGGACCAAAAAAAAGGGTCCTGCACCTTTTTGCTGCGGATCCTGTGCAATTAGAGCCATACAAGATGTGTGGCTCAAATGGCACCACACAGAATTCACATGTGTTTTGCACAGGAATACGTTGCAGATCCTGTGTGAATCACATGCGATATGCCGCTCTGCACAAGTGTGAACCCAGGCTTAGTGTAGAAACTCCAAATGTAAGTATGTGCAGGAAACATGGAGGCTGCCCTTGCTGCATCTTCCTCCCTTAGTATAATTAGGCCTCATTCACACTGGAAGTGCCAAACCTGCATTTTTATGCATTTGAGGACATTTCTAAACACATTAAAATGCAGATAATGGTTTTTTAATGGTATCATTCAAACTTAGCATTTACTTGCATTTAGTCATTATAAGTTTAGCTATGTTTATTGAAAATTCTGTGTGCCCACAATCTGATTAGAACATTTAACTGCATGGAAACACAGCTAAACCCACTTTAACACCCCCCCCCCCCCCCACGTGACACATCAACCCCGGCTTTGAAATTGTGTGACTTACAGTGAACATCTTCACTGTACACTATAGCCAGCTAAACAGGGAAAACAGCAGGGAGTAGATCGCAGATAAAAATATTGAAATATAACACACTTTATAAATAGTTTGATTAGAAAATAATAAAACCCTACTGCAATTTATATATATATATATATATATATATATATATATATATATATATATATATTTATGTATTTAAAGGATACGTGCTATGAGAAAATAACTCACTGCTGACCTCTTCCTGAAGTAAAGAAAATCCCTAACCTAGAACAAACCTTTCCTGACAGCTCCATGTCAATACAGCTGCCAATTGTGCTGACATGGAGCCCGTCAGGAAAGGAAAATTACGGCAAGTATCTGTCATTCAGTTTTCATTTTTGTACTGGTTTATAGTAAATCAACCACTTACATTTACATATGTTTATGTACATGGGCCAGACGGGAGCAGTGCAGGAGCAGGTGGCCATGTATAAATGGCTTCCGCATTCACTGCCTGTGCGCGCTCCCTGGGAGCACGCGGCACACCGATCTCTGTATGGGACCACTGTGTGAGGTCCCGATCATATGATCACTGATTGGCCAATCAGTGATCACATGAATAGTAGTAAGCAAGGTGTTACTTCCTGACATCATTGCTTACTACTTGTGAAATCTGTGACTGATCACAGAGGTCACATGGTAGAAGGCTATTCACAACAGCCTTGTACCATGTGACAAGATGTGACCAATCACAGCTCTCACAGTATTTCTCAATGGCTGCAAGAATGCAGCCAGAGAGGAGAAATGATTGCTTTTACAGCCTTTATGGGTGTAAAAGCATTCAGTGTAAAAAAAAAAAAAAATCTTTATCACCCCCCACAAGTAGTACAGTGCAGGGGCGGACTGACCATTTGGAAACTCTGGCACTGCCGAAGGGCCCGGGATCAGTAGGGGGCCCCATGAGATGCCCCTGGTACCTTTTTCATAGGCTTTTAAGGGTTTGGGCAAAGACACAGGGGCCCCATGATCCCCTATTGCCCAGGGGCCCCATGAGCTGTCAGTCCGCCCCTGGCACAGTGTCACTATGGGTAACAGTATGTTAAAATAAATACATAAATAAATATATTAAAAAAATAAAATAAAAATGTAAAAAATGATTTAAAAATTATCATTTTTGGTTATAAACTAATTTGGGTTTTTTTTTTTTTTACTAAAAAGATAGATGAATACATTTTGGCCAAGATTTATGAAGAAAGATGATTTATTTGCAAAAGTTTATAAGAAAAACACTTTTTTTTCAAAATGTTTGGACTTTTTCATTTATATAGCAAAAAAAATTAAAAAAGCCAACGGTGAATAAATACCACCCAAGCATCAGTCATGACAGTCTTCATATACAGTGTCTTTTATAACATTTTAGTTCACCTTTTATTCTGTGAGCCACTGCAATTGTATTATGATGCCTTTGCTCCAGAAGATGGCAGTCTTGTCCAAGAAATGTATCATTGCAAACCATCAGCTTAGCAACAGTGTGATTTTCTTTTTTTTTAAGGGTCCATGCACACTAGATGGCTGAAAATACGC